TGATTTCTTGAGCTCAAATAAACTTCACGAAACCTTATTTTAAGTCTCAACTCTCATAATTCCTATTTGAAATTGTCTTCCCTAGGTTAATTATGCATTAGTACATTTTTAGCATCTTTATACATATTTAAAAGGTATTAAGTGTATTAGGTAGTTAAAAGTCAATTTTGAGTTGGTAAATTTTTAAAAAAATTTCAAGTCTTATAATGGATAATTTTTCTTTTTTATTGTTTGAATTTTGGCAAAAAAAATTAAAGAATTAATTGTTGAATTGGGTGGCAAAAGGAAAAGGAATAAAAGTGCAAGTGTCGTGTATGCAAGCTTCATGTAACTACATGCAACTTCAATGCCACTCTTGGTGATTCAAAAAAGACCATTTGGATGCTATTGAGTTGGCTAAATGAAGGGTTCTTATTGGTCATTATCTTGACTTCTTGGAGTGCAAAAGTTTATAAGAAGAGGGCTTGAAAACAAGGAGAGCTAAGAGAGCTAAACAAGTAAGCAAAGGCCATTAAAGAAGGGTGAAAGAAGGATCTAAAAGACTATCCAGATCTAGATATTTTTGCAAGACATTTTGGGGCTTAAGGCAGCTCCCATTTGCCTATAAATAGAGGGAGAGAATCGGTCATTTGGAGACTTTAGGCTAGGATTTTAGAATTTTTTCTCTAAGTTTCTACATTTACTTTCTTTAAACATTTTATTTTCTTGCCATCCAAATAACTTTGATTATAGTTTCTTTGATTGATTTTCTTTGTAAATTTAACTTTCTTACACTAATTTTCAATGTACTTTCATATTTTTGCAATGAAATTTACAGATTTTCACATTTTCATCTTCAAATTCCTTTGATTCTACATGAACATCAATTTTGTTTTGAAATTTGTAGTTCTAACCTCTTATCAGTGTTTTGATTGAGACTTGATGAATTTTGCTTGTTTTAAGTTAAACATGTTTTCTTAGATTCCTAACTCATATAGTTATAACCTTGTAAAACATCTCTTGCAAATTCTAACCACAGAAGAATAGTTAAATCTTCAAAATCATGGTTGAATCTAGTTGGTAGCAAAGAGCTTAGCAAGAGTGACAGCTTAACAAGGATTTACTCTCCATCTAAGCATTTGGTTTGCCTTTCTTAAACTTTACTCTCTTAGATATACATGTTAAATTGTTAGTTCTTAATTGTTTGCATTTATTTTCATGAGTTTACTAGCTATTTGGATAGATTTAGTTGATCATGCTCTATTTTTTTTCAAATTTGAGTGTTGTTTGTGTTGCTAGTTCATTGAGCTGAATTTCCTTTAATTTGATGTGATTTTCTTATTACATTTTGTGGTAAACTTGTTAATGAATCTTACCTTAGGTCAGTTCTAGTTCAATCTCTTTAGAAGTTTCTAGATGTTTCTTTTTCTCTCTTTGAACTAGTAAAATCCTAATGCAACTTATGTTTTGTTTTTATTTATTAGTAATTTCTTGCAATTTCTCTTTAGTTTTTTATCTTCTCTTTAATTTCTTATACTGTTCTTTAGTTGATCTTTTAATTTCCAGCTCATGTTCACTTGATTTTGCATCATTTAGATCTAAAACAATAGATTTAAATTTAGTTATCAAAATTTTTTGTAGTTGCGGTTTCATGTGTTTCCATTGAATCTTGCAAGTTCTTCCTAGTTTTTGCTCTTGAAATTGAATTCTTATATTGTTCTTTTAGTATTCTCTCAATTTACAGCTTTTAATTAGTTGATTTTACATGATTTAGATCAATTTTCTAACAACAAATTCAAATTTCCAGATTTTGTCATTCATTTTCGATTTGCAACTTACACTTTGCATCTTGAATTTTTACTTCACATTTGAACTTTAAATTTGTTCTTACTTTAGTTCTTTACTTGTTTTTGCAAATCTAAACTTGATTTCATGTATTTTGTTTTCATTTAAAATCTAGGTTACATCCTTGAAGTCATGGTTTGCATTTTTCCTTGAATTTTTTATTTTTTGTGTCTTCTTGTATTCGGTTTTAGCTTACTATTTGAATTTTATATTTTTGCTTCTTAATGTTCACTTCAAATATGCTTTTACTTAGATTCGTTTACTATATTTTTACCATTTATATCTTGTTTGGTTCAATTCTTTTGTTTTTCCTTTAGTTAATAATGTAATAGTAGTTGTAGTTAGTTATAGTTAGTTAATTTGGTTACATAGCATTGGTTACTATTTTGTTACAATTTTTACTTGATATTTTTCATTTTTAGATTAATATTAAATTTCAATGCATGTTTAGTTCATAGCATTTATTTCACGTATTGTTTTTGTTCATTTTCTCATTTTACTTGGTTTACATTTTGGATGCTTTGTTCAATTCTAATTTCGTATAGAATTCTATTTTCGGTACTTAGTTTACATTTCATGTTCAATTTCTGATCGAGCCAACTTTAATGATTATGTGTTGATAATAGATACATAGGTTAAGGAGTTCATTACCTAATCATCATGAGAATGATATCTTGACCAAAATATCACTATTATTACTTGTATGACCTGTGAGCTTGTAAAATTATCCGAATCAACAATTGACTATCCATATAAGGGAATCGAACACCTATAGCTTCAAGAAAAATGCTATCTTACTGTTTGAAAATAGTAAACTACTGTAGTCAAGACAGTCAATTGCCTTACCTAGAAAATGCTTATTGTTTTAGAAATACACTAAGGCAGTCAATTGCCTTTAGCAGAGTTACATTGTGTTACAAAAAATTCAAACGGGCAATCAACTATCCTTATAAAGTAATCAACTACTCTAGTTCAAAAGTTGTATTTTCTAGAAAGTGAAGAATAGTTTCTTTTGGAATGAGATATAATCATTCATTAAATGATCTTTTACTTATAAAAGATGAATACTTACATTTGTAATTATATAAAAAGATGTGTTAACGCGATTGTTGAATGAAACAATTCAATTTAAAAGACATAACCCTTGGATCAAACCTTTATAAAGGGTGGTAGGACACATTTTAAAAGTGGTTTTTGTTGAAACACTAGGAGACTCTCTATGTATCCTTTCTTTCTCATTTCTCTAATAAATTAGAAAGATGATTTTACCGCTCATGAAAGGATGTTTAGTGGCTTGATATCATTAATGCAAAGTGATATCAAATAAGGCTTCATTGTATCTCATCGAATATTTCAGTCAACCCTTTTGCATACTATAACTAGTATGAGTGAAATATATCTAAAGAAAAGTGAAACTTGTAGCACACCTTAAAACCATTATCTTTCATGCTATAACTTTCCTTTAAACTTACCATTTACACCATCTTATTTCTCTAACACCTTAATGTCCAGAACTAGGCATTTAGACATTACAACCCATTGTTTTATCTAAATATATTATGTACATGATTGAATGCAATTGTGGGCCATTAATAGAAGAAAGTAAAACACTCAACTGTGAACACCAAGCGATAATAAGTTGAATTTCTAGTAGTAACATTGATGATAGAGATTCTAAGTTGAACTTATATTAAAAATATTGGTGATAAAAATTCCCACTAACAAAGAATCAAGAAAATAAGCATGAAGCCCAAACAAACTCAAGGATATCATGCAACAACTAGTCAAGATATGTAGACTAAAGTTTCAAAAAGAAGCAAGATAACGGTGTAACAGTCGTCATTTTGTGGTAATGTCATCCTCCGCCATTGCTATTCCATTAAAAACCATTATGAATTTTATTCAAGTCTGTAGTGGTGCAATAACAGTCGAAAAAATGTCATAACATTCGATAGTAGAAATAACGACCCATTATCGACGTTAATCTGTTTTCGATCCAAAATATTATATAGAAACAAACATTTTACCTAAATCAACAGTAAAAAAGCCCCTAAAAAAAAGAAAGAACCCTAGACCTACAACATTCACTCAAAATTTAGCCTCAATCAAACACAATAAAGATCAAGAACAAATAATTGAAGGTAAGTAACACTAACGAGTAATCTAACCTGAGCTAATTCAGCTTGAGCAATGTGATATAGCTTTGGACTTCGATATGCTCCTAATGGTTGGAAATTTAATGCCAAGTAGAGAAGAGAAAAGGAAGTGGTGGCCATTATTGTGCTTAGGAAGAGAAAATGGTGATTGTTCTGTGTAGTTGATAGTATGATAGAATATGGAAAAGAAAAAAGGGAAAATCGAAACAAGGGGAAAAAGGGGAAAGGTAAAAGGGAAAAGATAGAAAAGAGGAATCTAAACCCAAAAAAAAAAAAAAAGATTAATGCAGTGAAATTTGAAGAAAACAATCTAATGAAAATTTGAAAGGCCCATTGCTTTATATTTTTAAAATCCACTCTTTTTTTTTCTATCTCAATGTCCGATTAAATTAAACGGAAATTTTACATTCAAAGAGCCCATTACCTTATATTTTCACAATGATAATCTATAAAAACCATGTAAAATTAATCACATATATATGTGGTAAAATAAATTATACAAATTAAGTAGTTATAGTGTTTAAATAGTTAATAGGTAAAAATTTATATTTATATAGATTCATAATCTTAAATGATTAAATCCCCATTTAGAAAAGTTCATTAATTCAAATCTTAAACATTAGCCATCTTTAATAAATAACATTGTGAATTGTAACAATTCATAGGCATAAATAGCATTTAACATGTTCTACCTTGTTAATTATTAATAATTGTATTTATAGAAGTAATAGATATAAGAATAAGTGCTTTTCTCAATATGATTGTTTTAAACATAATATCAAAAAATTGTGAATAATATTTTTTCATATAAATAAAAGATCATAGTGTTATAAACTATTTTAAAAATCATTAAAAAGAATTTTTATGATTATAATTATAATTACTATATTTACAATAAATTGTGCAAAACAAAAAAAAAATTCACGACCATAATGAGTACAATAACCGTGATAGTAGTCATTTTATCCATAACTATGATAAATGTGATGTAACAAAAAATATGACCATGATTGCAACTTAAATGCCTAATGTAGACAACGAAGATTAAGCCCACAAAAAGCCTGAGGATACCCTTGGTCATATTAAAAAAAACCTAATTAAGAGAGTGAACGATATGATAATGCATGCAAATGGTATGTGTAAGAAATTTTAGCATCATATCCTATGAATTTGAATTGGTCATTCAAGCATCTAGACGTTGTTCGCTCTTGCCATACAAGCTACAAAACACAAGAATATTATTCATTTACAAAAAGAGAGAAAAAAAATAACAGCATCAGGACAGAATAAACTTGTCTACAATTTCAACATTCTGCTATAAAGAAAGGGCAGCGATAATGAATAGAAATTGGCAGCAATGATAATAATAATAATAAGCAAACACAGCAAGGCTGAATTAATCTCAACAATTACATTTTGGCATAGAATCAAGAGTGTTAAAGACACAAAAAGAAATGTGAATCAATTTAAGAGAAAACAGAAAGGGGCAGCTCCCAACCTGTTCAGCATGTATTAATTCCATCCTTGCAATCTTTGGTTAAATTATAAAAGGTTTCAACACGTGTCTTCGCCCTGTAAAGTACCTCAGTATCTACAGCAACTCTCATGTATCCATCAAACTCAACTGGTTTACCATGATTCAGCACCGTTGTCTCATTGTACCACTCACTCGTGTTACTCCATAACTCCTTGTAATCATCCAGCAAATGGACCTTGTATTGGGACCTCAACTTATCAAAGTAATTATAGAACAGCTCACTCGTTGCTATGTACAGATTCCTCCAAGGCTGAACCATTTCCTTAAGCTTCATAAGAAGAGCATCAGGCGATGTATCAGAATCCAAGTGTGGCCAGAGTTCTTTATTCTGTGCTTTTTCCCCTCGAACCACATGCAGAGCATCAAAATCCCAGTCCATTTGGCCACTGATCTCAGTCACTATATTCATCAATCTCTTTGATTTCCATAAAGCATGCCATGGCCTCTTAATGTACTTAGCTGTCTGCCCCTCACATACCCTGTACCAATAATTTTCAGGCTCTGGAGCATCAAACTGCCTCCAAATGATTGTGCTCTTATCTTTCTTAAGTTGCAATGGTGTGACTTTATAGGTTGCTACCTTCTTGACTGGCACTTTTCTTTTATGACCTTTATCCCATTTCTTCCAATCTCTCAAGAACTCACTCTCCTCCACCACGGATGCAACCTCCTTAAGATGCTCAAAATCAAAATAAAACCGAAAATCTTTTCCCTCCTCATCCCTATTGCTTGGATTATAAGTTGCAGATAAGCATATGCTCAAATCCATCACAAATGTTCGATTCAAATACATAGCCTCCCCTAAACCACACAAGAAACTCCACAAGTAATGATTCATTCCCTTGCAGTAGTCTCCACCCCGTGCATAATACAAATACTTCCCTTTTCTAAAGTTCATTTCGGAACCCAAAGTTGGAATAGTATCATTTATCTCTTCATCACGTATAGGCGGAGCAAGCTTGGGATTCCCACCAATACTTGTGGTGTTATGTCTATTCCTAGGCCTCCGAATGTTAATGCCCGAATGCCAGCCACTTGCGTGTACCACTTTATAGGTACAATTCTCTCCGATCCCAAACTTGAACCTTCTAAAATCCCTGTACTTTCTCCACGACTTTTCTTTCTTGTTCCTAAACCTCCAACCCACATCACACTCGTCTGGTTTCGTCCCATTGACTGGAGTTTGATACTCCAAAAACACAATCGACTTGAAAGTCTTCAAATTGAATTTCTCAACTGTAAGTAAAACACGTGGATCCGAACAATTCACAACCTTGACCTCCTCACAATCTGATTTTAGACTCAGATTCGAGATTTTCTCTTCAGACTTCTCGATCACAGCTTCAGTGATGGGATTGAGTGCCAAAGCAGGGGGCACGGCTGGAGCTGGCACAGCAAGTAAATCCTCACCAGTTTTGAGGATAGAATTGTCATTTTTGAAAGTGGCATTTTCAGTTTGAGTGAAGAGTTTGGTTAAGGCTGGAGCTGACTCCAGCCATGGATCTGGGGGTTGGTAGGTAATGGCAATAATTGTGAATATTAACACTGAAAACACAAAAACTGAGAAACATAGATTACTTATCAGTTTTATCAGATTTTGTCCAATTGGCTCAGTGCTTAACTCGAATTCCTTCATGGGATTTCTCTTATTTTTGAAAGTTCAAATGCAAAAACTAATCAGATCTCACGATAAACCAACAAAACACCAACTTTAATAATAAAGAATGAAAACTAATCTGATTTCTTCACGGGTTTTGTTTATTTTTGAAAACCAACTAGCAATAACTAATCAGATCTTGATGACATTAGAAAAACAAATGAAAGAAAGGAATAGGAAAAAGCTAAACACTTGAATATCACTTACATGAAAATGCTAAACTGGTTCTAGCTTTTCTGGAAATCCAAGTTATAGAAGTAATCAGATCCAGAAGAAGAAAAGCAGCGCTTGACGACAAGGAAATGAGACGACAATGGAAGCCGACGGAGAGAGAAAAAGAGAGAGGAGATCTGGAGAAGTGATTTGTCCGAAGAGTGAAAAATAGAGTAGCACAACAAACTTATTTTGCCCAAGGATTTGGTTGGGTAGAAGCAAAAGAATCCGCGCTTCTTCTTTTGCACGGGAGTTGATTACACTTTCGCTTTCACTCCAGTGAACAAGGGCGGTAACATGTCAGCGTCAACTGATTTTGACGTCTTACTTGTTCACCCCTCTAGCTAGTAAAATCAGATTTCTCCGGACAATCTACCTTCAACTTATTAGAGCCAATACGTGTCCTATTGGTATTTCAAAACTTTGCTGCAGATTTGGTATGTTCAACTTTAATTTAAATTTATTATTAAAATATTAAAATACATTTTAAATTGATATTTTGATATTTATTTTTAATTAAAACTATATAAAATTAACTACTTTATAATAAAACAAATTCACAAATTGAGTCCAGTAAAGTTCATACTTAAAATTTTGTCCAAGACCCAATTAAGATTAATTCTAATGAGCAAGCCGACCTATGAACAAATTTACTTCAACTGTAGCTAATATTTTTGTCAAAAAAAAAAAAATTGAAACCAAAATCAATGGACACCCATTAGTAATAGAGAAAAATAATAATAATGTGCAATTTTCTCCCTTTATTTATCATGATGGTTAAAATTTACTAATAATATTTGATTCGGTGTAATTTTAATGTTATGCTAAGTTTTTTTAACTTGTGTATTAGTTAATTTTTAATGTATTAATTAAAACTAAAAAAAATATATTAATCAATAAAAACATTTCTTTACTGATTAACAACTTTATACCTGTGTTATAAGTTTTTTAAACAATAATAAATATAAATATAAATTACATGAAGATCTCATAATATAAAAAATTATTTTTAAAATATATCTAAGTTGATTTATCCACAAGATACCAGCGGTCTTGCAATTATGGAAAAAAAAAATCTCTTTGATGACAAGATTTAGAAATTACTACTTACACATGTCATTTATATTTTATTTTGTAATACAACCAGAGATATCTCAATTTTGTTTGAATTTAATCTTTTTTCACGATTTCGAAGGTACATTCTCCTACATCAGCTGAGTATCTTTTTTTTTTTTTTTTTTGAAGAAAAATTCATTCATTGCATTTCAAAGTTGAAGTTAATACATAGTTAATCAGGTACCTCACCCGACCAAATCCTTTCTCCTACGATCTCCTTCCCAAACTTTGCAGGACTATGAGCAATTGCATTAATCTCACGGCACATCAGCGATGTACTTAATTGTCCTTGATGATTCTTACGTCAACTTAATATTTAATTCTCCTCGATGATTTTAAAGGTACAATATCTCATATCAATCAAATTAATACCTTTGTAAACGTTTATTGATTCAAATAATAAGAAGTTAAAATTTTTTAAAGTAAAATTTTAATTTTTAAATTTTATGAATGAAAAAAATAAATTTAAAAAAATTTATCTTTTTATAAAATTTGATCTTATTCAATTTTAAATTAATTAAAATTTAAAATGATTATCGAATACTGAAAAATTTCAGACAAAAAAAAAATTACTAATGCCTTCAAAATTTTTATTTTCAGAAGTAAAAAAAAAAAATCATTCACTTACCAATTGAACTAATCCTTAATAAGTCATTTAACTATATCATTAATCATTAATTATAATAATATACAAAGCAAATTGATAATCACAAATTAAATTTGACATTGGTTTAATTATTTTTAATTGATAAAAAATAAATCAATTTTATCCAAATTCATTTAGTCTTTTTTTTTTTTTTATAGTCAAGCCTAACAATAACTCTTTATGAATCTATTAATTAACTATTTGAAATTTTAAATCCTTGATGGTATTGGAATTAAAAAGTTAAATAGTTAACTAACAAAATACTATTACTTTAACGTCATCCAAAATTAAACAAAAGAAAAAAGAAAAAAAATCACTTTGACGTTAGACCCACAAATTATCCAACCATTATTCCATTATATTGAAAAAAGTAATAAGAATGACCAAATTTACAAATTATGTTTTTAATATTCTATTCTATATTATCTCTTTAAAATTTAATTTAATAAAATTTGTTGATATAATACTAAATTAAGTGATTGATTCCATTGAACATTATTATTACAATAGTATTTTTTTAAAAAAAAAATAACAGTAAATAGTATTAATAAAATGAGAAAAACAAAAACATGAAATAGACAATGAGGTATGATGTATTGCTTATTTATTGAAATTTCGGTATTAAGGGGTACTACTTAAAATGTCGCGGGTTACAAAAAAAAAAAAAGAAATTAATAGAATAACAAAAGGAATAAAAGTGAGAAAATGCAATGAATAGAAATTTTGAAATAGAAAAAAAAAAAAAAAAAAAACCAACGACGTGTTAATTGAAACAGTACGTTCTCCCATAGTAGCACATTTGTAGGCTTAGTAGTAAAAATCAGTAAGGTCAAAACAATAAAATTGAGAGAATGACTAGTGAAGTAAGGAATGAGTTTTAAAAAATTAGAATATTAGGATATTTAGTATATAAGATTATGATAATATAAGATAAGATGATATTATAAATACAATTATATTAAATAATGTCATTTTATTTTATATTTGATATATGTAAAAATTATGATAGGATAATTTATTTACTGATTAAAATTATTTTTTCTTAAGATTTATATAATTTAAATTATTAATAAAATTTTTAAGAGTATAATAGAATATTTAAGTTTAATCTTATGGATTAAGAATAATTCTTTTCATATTAGAAAGATTGAATCATCTTATACCAAGAGAATAATTAATCCTCTTATATCAAAATGATGCTTAATCTTCCTTATAATTTTATCATTTTTTTTTAGATATAAGTCAAATATAATATAAAATTATTATCATTTTATTCTATCAATCATCCAATATACTAACATGACATAAATATATTAAATAATATTTCTTCATTTCCAAGACGATCATATTAACATGAAACAAGCAACGTAAAAAAAGAAAAAAAAAAGTCAAGAAAGAATAAGATCCCATAATATCATAATCATAAAACTAATTTATTCAATGAATTTATTAATAGGTCAAGAATAAAGATTAAATAAAATAAAAGATTTTTAAGAACATATAAATACAAATGATCTCATTTCAAAATCAAAGGACAAAGATGAAAACATATATTCAAAAGCTAAAAGAATGGTGAAAACACATATTTATAAAATAAAATAAATTTAAAAAATGGTATATTTGAGATAAAAAAAATAATTGTTACAATATTCTAGCAGTACTAGAGATCAAAGGTGAAATCTGCGTATAATTATAAGCAATTAAAAGAAAAAGTTATTAACCCTCAAATTAATATTGAATTTGTCAAGGAGTAATTATAAGCTCAAATATTGCATGAAAAGGAAAGAACAAACCAAAATCAATCTCCAACAATAAAAGATTTATCTTAATTGTATTAATCCTATATATATATATGGTATGTTCAATTACAAAAAGTAAGTACTGTGTATTAAAAAAAAAAGTAACTTATATATATATGGCATGTTAAATTGTATTGGAAATATTGGGTATTTCCAAAATATATTTTATTGATATGATTTACTTAAAAAATATTTATCTTAATTGTAGCATCCTATAAATAAATATTAACCCACACCTCTTTCTTCTCACAGAAGAATTCAATCACTTGATCACTTTAGCAACAACAAAAATATGGCATCACCAAAGCTTCAAAACGTGGCCATTCTCTTTCTCTCGATCTTCCTCTTTGCCCAATTGAATGATATATACGTTGCTTTTGTTTATTAAGGTTTTTTTTTTTTTTTCTCTTTTCTGAATTAACATTTTGATATGTTTGGTGTAAGGAGTGGTGCTTCATCTAGTACTGTTAATTGTGATATAGTCAAGGGCCGGTACGCAGTGTTTTCTCGGATTGTGTTAAGCCATGCGAAAGCATTGGCCACACTGCTTCTTCTGCTAACTGTATCCCTAGCCCTAATTTTGGCGAAAGTCTTACATGTTGTTGCACCATTCTATAATAAGCTTATAATTTTCAGTTGTCATGAATAAAATGCTTATATTTGGTTCAACTATAATATTTGATTAATTATATATATATTTAACTTCTAATTTATCCTTAAATCCCTTATCTTAATATATATTAGGCTAAAGAAAACATTATGTATTTAAGCTCTCTCGAGCTAGTAATTTTCAAATGCCAACACTAATGACATGTCAATTGATCTAATACATTAAGAATGAACTATTTAATTTGTATAAAATAGTTCATTCTCAAATTAGTTCTTTAATACATTTATATTTGATTAAATACAATATCCTGTAATCTTATATAAATATATAAAAGCCAAAGCTTTTGGCAAAAATGGAAAAAATTCTATGTGGACGGGTTAAAATGTTGACATATAGACAGTCTTAAAAATTATCATTTGACATTTAATAAATACATTTTATTTTATTTAATACATTTTAATTTAAAAATAATTCAAAAAACTAAATTGATTTATATTTATATTTTTATTATTGATTTTAAATCGCTCTCAATTCAATTCATGTTAAAAGTATTAAAATTTTAAAAATTTTTTAATTTGACAAATTAAATCAATCAATAAATAATTAATAAATTAATAAATACTACAATTACAATTATAAAATAGTTGATTCTCTAGTCAATTATTTGATATATTTATATTTGATTAAATATAGTATCCAGTACTTGATATATTTCATGTGTAAATATATAAAGCAAATATAATTCAAAAAACTAAATTGATTATCTTTATGTTTTTATTATTGATTTTAAATCACTTTCAATTCAATTCTTATTAAAAGTATTAAAAATTTAAAAATTTCTTAATTTGACAAATTAAATCAATCAATATATAATTAATAAATTCATAAATTCATAAATACAACAATTACAATTATAAATAATTGATTCTCTAATTAATTATTTGATACATTTATATTTGATTAAATATAGTATCCATTTGAGTATTTGATATATTTCATTATGTATTTCATGTGTAAATATATAAAGCAAATATATCAAATTAATTTTCCATAATTAAATTAATGGAATAAAATATTTTATTAATTTATATTTGATTGATACATTTATATTTTATTAAATATGATTTCATTTGATAAAATATTAATGCACGTTGATTTCATTTATTTTTATTTGTAACGTTTTATCATTTTATTATTTGATATTAATGC